TAATGTGATTATCATGAACTTATTGTGAATTTCATGTTTATTGGAGTATTTCCATATATTGTGAATAACATGTGAATGGTGATATGATAATTTGATTCCTAGGAGCATTGGCTCGAATTGTGATGCGAATATTGAAAGTATATGAAATGACTTGATTCATTGAGGAGTGTCGGCTCTAGTTGTAGAACGAATTGCGAAAGTATAAGTGATAATTGAACCTCTGGAGCATCTGCTCGAGTTGTGAAAAAGAATTGTGAAGTAAAAGTGAGAAAGAGGAGAGATCATTATGTTGCTTGGCGGGCTATTGTTGGGTTGTTATTCCTCTGCATTGTGTTCTTAACGGATACTAGGGTCGCTCAGATTAATGTTTCCTTGTGTCATATGATGACTATAGTTATAGATGGGTTGGTTGGGTGTGGTAGTCGGTTAGATATAGCTGAGGTGGTCAAGTGTGGTAATAGGTTGGTTATAGCTGTGGTAGTTAGATGTTGGAACTAATGTGGTGGTTAGATGTTGGAACTAATGTGGTTATAGTAATCCCCTTGCCAGAATATTTGAGATGATATTTTGTTCCCTTACTGGGAAGTCGTTATATTGTTGTTTGTGACGGAATATGAGATAAGAAATTTCTTGGAGCTTGGGCTCCAGTGATATCGTGAGATAAGAAAAGTAAGAAAGAGAAAACGTTGTTGATTATTCCCTTGCCGGGACGTTTGGTTGAACTTGTTGGATTCTTTCCCTTGCCGGGATGTTTGTCAAATATTTACTTATTTTTATGCCCCTTAATTGTGACTGTTGTTTGGGGAGTCGGACTGTTAAATGATATTGAGGATCGGGTTGCACGCCGTAACAATAATATGTGAGGGTCGGGTTGCACGCCGCAACAATGATATTGAGGATCGGGTTGCACGCCGCAACAGTAAAAGGTGAGGATCGGGTTGCGCGCCGCAACAATGATACATGATAAATGATATGGGTCGGGTTGCACGCCGCAACAGTGGTATTTGTGGAGCGGGTTGCACGCCGCAACAATAGTAATTATGGAGCGGGTTGCACGCCGCAACAGTGGTATTTGTGGAGCGGGTTGCACGCCGCAACAATAGTAATTATGGAGCGGGTTGCACGCCGCAACAGTTACTGATACCATGTGTTTATTTTGAGTATTGGTTCTTGCTCACTGTAATTCTAAGCTGCTTTAGTTGGTTACTTTGGATTACTGTTAAAATTGTTATCTCCCCATAGCATGTTTCCCCTCCCACATTGTTACTTGCCTGGTATTTCGATTCCGTTGTATATTTATAGCTGCACAGGTTCATGTGGTGTCCGGTCTAGCCTCGTCACTACTTCGCCGGGGTTAGGCTAGACACTTACCAGCACATGGGGTCGGTTGTGCTGATGCTACACTTCTGTGCATTTTTGCACAGGTCCAGGTTTTGAGGAGCAGCAGCAGTAGTAGTTCGGGAGCAGACTTTCCTATTCACGAGACTGAGGTAGCCTTGCAGGCGTCCACAGGCCCGGCGTCTCTTCTTTATGTTTTCCTTTTGACTGTTGCCTCATTGTTTTCGAGACAGACAGCTGTTATATTTCTTTCAGACCTTTGTATTTAGTTTATTCTTAGTGGTTCGTAAGTAACGTGACACCAAATCTTGGGTAGAGGCTATTGTTGATTATTTCGCGTTTTGATTCAGACTTATAAATTAGACTTCCGCTATTATTATTATTAAATTTCATATTTCTTATTGATGCTATAGATTGTTAACAGATTTATTTATTAACGAAAGGTAAATAAGTTGGCTTGCCTAGCTACCACGAGTAGGCGCGATCACGATTCCGATGGTGGGAAATCCGGGGCGTGACACTAACTATTCATTTGCTTCTCCAAAGTCATACACTACAATAAAAGTTACTTTTGTAAGAAAATATAATTTTTACCCGTATCAATAAGTACGCAATGTTAAAATATCACATAAAACTATTAGATAATTTGTTTAAGATATATAAAATTATATAGGACTTTAAAATCCAAAAATTAATCAATATAATAGGAGTCATTAGATGCTCCAGTTCAAGAATTTTTCAAATTTATTGTACAATAGAATTATTTGTTCAGTTGAAAAAACCCTTTAGGTACATAATTTTTTTTCATCAGAAGACTAGCGGTGAAAGAAATTAAAATTAAGATTCAAATTGATAAAAATAGAAATTTGAAGCAATTAGAAATAAAACAGTAGAAGAAAAAATATACTATAAACTCGGTATATTTTTTAATATTAAGTTAATTATTGTAAGATATTTATTTAACATTAGTTATTCTTTAAACTTTATATTGCCACTATCAATTTTGTATCACAAATTCTCAAAGACCAAAAGAATTAATTTTTAATTTATTTTATTTGATAAATCTGTAAAGAATTATGATAAAAGTATTTTGCGTTGTATTCCCATATTAGGTCACAATAATAATAATAATAATAATAATAATAATAATAATAATAATAATAATAAGATATTCCGACATAAGTATTTATAAATCATAATAAGGCATTTAAAAACTTTAAAGGATATATTTCTTTATTTATTGAGTTAGCTAAATGAAAACAACATTATAATTTTCTAGATTTATACTTTAATTTAATATAACTCAAAAAAAATATAAAATTATCTTATAATTTTATGAAATTTTTTAATATTATGTATTTATTGATATAAGTAATATTCTCTTTTTCTATATAAAAAAAGACTTCTATGGTGGTGTATGACTATTGGAGAAACAAATAAATAGTTTAGTGACTTATTTTTGCTAAAACAAAAAAAAAAGGTTTTGGTACGTAAATTCATCAACTTGAGTGACCATTTAGGGAATTAACTCCATTCACATGCATACAAAATTAGTTTTATAAATTGATTAAATGACAAAATTTAATACTTTTTCCATTTACTCCAATACTCTCTATATCATCGATTGACATAAATAACAGACAACATGAACAAAGACATTCATATTATAAGATGTTTAATGTAAAGTTGGACGACACATTTACTATGACACTACCTATTGAAATTTTAGTCTCAAAATCGATCGTCACATGTTTGATTTCTTAAAAACACTTATATGTCTGTAATTTATTTCAGAAGATTATTTCAAATAACCTTTGGCTTTTCATAGTACTGTTATAAAGTTCTAAGAAAAAGTATATTCTAAATTCTTCAAAAATCTACAAAAGTATACGAAAATTAGTTTTGTAACGTGTAGACTAAAAAATGTTAATTAAAATTAAAAAAAAATGTTAATTCAGATAATCAATTATAACATGCATTTTTAAATTTTAGAACATAGTGATGAAAGTTTTTCGCATGCAGCTATCTATCAAACATAGCTTCCCGCAGCACATCAATTATGTTGTAAATTCGCTTGTCTGCTTTTGCTTCACTTGCATTCAGATAATATTTTCTATGAATCTTGAGAGCACAAGCAATATTATCTCAATACCAAATTTACACTTCAAGAAAATACCAATATGAAATGATGGCTCGTCTAAAAGAGAAAAGAGAGAGTTGTAAACAGCATACTCCATCTTTTATGAATCTAATGATGTGCTTGCGGATTGAAGAGTGCGCGATCACAAAGTAAAATTTAAAATAAAGAGAAACAAATACAAAATTATTTAGGAAACACAACTCAAAAAAAAAAATTCCATACCTATTAGAGCAAACAAACCTGAGAAAAAGAGCTACAGAGAACACAAGAGGTGAAGAAAAAGTAATTGGTCCACAATATATATACACTTGAAAGGAATTAGATAGCCAAATTCGTAACATAAGAGACATGAGGGTTAAGTCAGTTCTTTTTCTTTTATTGCATCATTCAATTCAATTTAATGATTAGAAAACTGAAAATAATAACTGCTACAGTTTTGCATACTTAAGGTTGCTAGAACATGGAATTAAGTCATTAAAGAGGCCTAAACAATTGAATTTGATAAAAAAAAAAGTAAAAAAAAGGAGAAAAAAGATAAATAGATTTCTTGGCCTAAGAGAGGTGCCAAGTCATCACTATTATTCCCAGCTTTATTATATATATAGATGTTTGGCCAAGTTTCTAAAATTAGCTTATTCTAAAAAGTATTTTTTTTAAAAAATATTTTTCAAAAAAGTACTTTTGGCTAATTTATTTGAAAATTACTTTTGAGTAGTAATTAATGTTTGGTCTTATAAAAATTTTTTCTATGTGTATTTTGCTCAAAAGTACTTTTTAAAGAAGTGTTTTGGAGAAAATTATTTTTTTCTGCTTCTCAAAAACTGTTTATGCTTTTACTCAAAAATATTTTTTCCTTCTAAAAGTTTGGCCAAACACTTTAACTTCAAAATGGAAAAAAAAAAAAAAAGATTTGGCAAAAAATAAACATTTTGGCCAAAAAAATGGTTTCGCCTTTGACCAAACAGGCTATTAATGATCTTGTTATACATTCAAGACACTACTCTTGCGATGAAATGACTAGCCAGCTAAATATTGGTAGGACCATAGGCTAATAGTTTGGTTGTTATTAAATGAACGACATGGCCAGCTTCTTATCATCCAAACGCCATAAGTTAGAGACGTTTTTATAGGTAGTGTAGTTCAATTGTGGGATAGACAAAGATATTTAATGGGCTGGTTTGTATGATGATATATATATATATATATATATATATCATCATCATTTGGTATAAAATTTTCCGGCTTAGCTAATACCCATAATTAAATATAGGATAAATACAACGAAAAAGGGTTTAAAATGCCCCTTAACTATTGGAAAATGTTTAAAAATACCCTTCATCCACCTATTGGGATAAAAATACTCTTCCATCCACCTTTTTGGTTCACTTTTTTTTTTTGGTAATTAAAACTTTCATTTACCAGGAAAATATTTACAAGTAAATAAAAAACCCTTACATATTTTCCTACTTTCCTATGCTTCACCCCCTTACCACCTTTCTATTATTTACACATTTTCTATCTATTACAGTGGATGCCTGTCTAAACTATGTAGGATTTTCTCTATATACTTATTACTTCGACAGTGAATCTCCTGTATTATCGGCTTGGATATTATCTCCCATCCTCTTGCCTTGGCTTGGAAAATTCGAACATTTCTTTCTTGCCACACATAGTACACAGTTGCTGCTAATGCCATTTTATATAATTCTGCTGCTGTATTTTTCCTCTTAGTCCACTTCTCAACCCATCTTAGTTCCTCATCCCATCCATACACTGATCTTTTGATCCCTTGCCACACTAACAGTTTACTCCACAATGCATTTGCATATGGACACTCGAAAAACAGATGCTGAATGGTTTCACTAGCTCGTTTGCATAAGATACATTCTTGATCAACTTGTATTCCCCATCTCTGTAGTCTGTCTCTTGTGTACAGTTTGTCATGTGCTGTCATAGTCAATACAAAAATCCACCTGGGGCATCCTGTATTATGACAAACAACTCTTCTCCAGCTTACCTTGTCAATTCTTCCTCGTAGTCTGTGATATATGAGTTTAACCGAACATTGGTTCATCTTTGTGATATCATCATAGCTGAATCCTGCATCCATAAATGTCTTCTTTGCTTTCATGATCTTGCTCACCGTCCATGATGTTTGCTTCAGTTAGACTTTCTATATATTTCTATCTTTGATGTAGTAGCTATGCATCCATTGTATCCACAGCTTGTTTTTTTCTTTGCAAAGGTTCCAGTACTGTTTACATATGGCAGCTTTGTTCCAGATAGTTATGTTCATGATATTAAATCCCCTTGTTGATTTGGGGAGACAGACTTTCTCCCATGCCAATAGAGCCTTTTTTGACACATTGCCTTCTCTTGTCCATAAAAAACTTCTGCAGATTGCTTCAATTAGCTTAGTGATCTTATTTGGGAGCACAAAGATTTGTGCCCAATAAGTTTGGATAGAGAATAACACACTCTTTATCAGTTGGATCCTTCCAGCATAAGACATAAACTTAGCAGTCCATGAAGTTATTCTGCCCACTATTTTATCAATCAAAGGTTGACATTGAGATATTGATATTCTTTTAGAGCTTAGAGGAGCACCCAGGTATCTAACTGGCAGGTCACCTCTCTAAATTCCTAGAAACTCTAGGATTTCCTCTTGTGCTTTTTGTGTGACTCCTCCAAAGAATATTAAACTTTTATTCTTGTTGATCACCAGTCCAGAAGCTTTTGAGAACTCCATGAAGTAATGGAACAGTAACTTGACTGATCCTATATCACCCCTGCAAAACAATAAAAGGTCGTCAGCAAATCCAAGTTGCAAGATTTGCATCTTTGCACACTTGGGATGATAGTTAAAGTCTGGGATCTGATTTAATGTCTTTAAGCTTCTTGTCAAGTATTCCATTGCCTGTACAAATAGGAATGGAGAAATTGGATCCCCTTGCCTCAACCCCTTCCTAGCTTCAAATGGCTTTGTCAATGCACCATTAATCAGTACAGTATAGGTGACAGTTTCCACACATGTCATGATCCACCTCACAAACTGTTCTGGGAAGGCCAAAGCATTCAGTATCTGTTCCATGAAAGCCCATTCAACAGAGTCATAGGCTTTTTGCATATCAAGTTTCATCATACACCTAGGTGATACCCCTTTCCTTCCATATCCTTTCCCAAGTTCATGGCTAAGGATGATGTTATCTGTGATTACTCTGCCAGGAAAAAATACGGACTGTGTACTATCAATCAGTGTATCCATGACTCCTTGCAACCTCTTAGTTAAAACCTTGGAAATCACTTTGTATGTACAGTACAACATAAAATAGGTCTGTACTCTTTAAGGCTGGCAGGATTCCTGACTTTAGGGACTAAGGTAATAGCTGTACAGTTGATAGGTCTATATATTTGAGTTGTTTCAAAGAATTCCAATACAGCCTGTGCTACATCCTCTCCTATAATTTGACAGGACTTCTTGAAAAATACTGCATTAAAACCATCATAGCTCACTGAAGAAGATCCTTATCCTTCTCCTTCCCTTTTTTCGGAAGAAAGGTGGGATCCGGACAAAATCGATGAAACGGAAGAAATTCGAGTGAATGGAAAGGACAAAATAAAGGATAAACTCCACTCTCACCTTACAGGGACAGGCTATAATTGTAATTGTGAATTAAAAAGAAAAAAGAAAATAAGGAATTTGATTCAAAAAGTTGAAAAGAGTAAGTAATAAACTAATTCCAGGAGCTTTTAGATCACTGATATCCTTCAATGCTGCCCATACTTCTTCCTTAGTCACTGGTTTGATAAGCTGGAACTGTTGTTCTCTATTTAATACTGCTCCCAGTTTCATGACATTTGGGTTGATGGCTGGAATGTTTTCTGCTCTTGACCCAGTAGTTTCTTATAATATCCCGATATTTCTGCCTCTATGTCATCCTCCATCACTAATTGAGTTCCCATGTCATTTGTTAAAATCTGGATTCCATTCAAATTACTCATATTCTTCATCTGTGCAAAGAAATAGGCTGAGTTTGAATCCCCCAGCTTCAACCATTGAACTTTGGATCTTTGCTTGTACATACTCTCTTCAATCATTACTCATTTTTCTAATTCACATTTCTAGGCTTTCTCCTTCTCAATTAACTCTATCATCTGTAGTCTACAGCTCATTTCCTCTTGTATTGATTGCAACTCCTTCCTGGTCTCTTTAATCCTTTCATCAACCCCTTTATAGTGATGTATGTTTATCCCTTTAATAACCTCCTTTGTCTTTTTGAGGTTATTCCAGACTGCCTGCATCATCCCTTTTGCACCCCTTTCTTTCCAAGCTAGCTCAACTTGCTGTATGAATTGGGGATGATCAGCTATACAGTTGAAAAATCTGAATGGTCTATTCTTCTTTTCCTATACCTGTGTGATAATTAATTTCAGTGGTGAGTGATCAGACACAAGTGGCTCTAGCACCTGCACTTTCAAATTTGGCATTGTCATCATCCAGTTAGCATTCACAAGCCCCCTGTCTATCCTGCTGTAGGTATGGTTATTAGTCCATGTGTAATTCCTTTCCACATATTGTAATTCATTCATCCCAGTATCATTCATATACTCCTTAAAATCTTTTGTCTCCATAACTTGAATCTCAGAACCATGTTGTCTGTCTTGTGCATGTAGGACAACATTATAATCCCCCATAGCTAACCAAGGACCTTGTTGCATACTATGAATCTGCCTCAGTTTTCTCCACAAATTCAACCTATCTTTAATGATATGCAAGCCATATATTGCTGAAAATCCAAATGTGATTGACTTTGAAATTATTCTAATCTGTCCATGTATCAATTGTTCATCAACTTCAGCTGGTTCAAATGTATAGATTCTAGGATCCCAAATTACCTATATTCTACTTTTGTGCCTTGTACTAGAGTTGGATGTCCATTTCCATCCAGGTGCAATCTTTTTAATTACCTCATTAGTTTTCTGCTCTTTTACTCTATGCTCAACCAAAGCTATTACTGCTTTATTATTTTCTTCTATGAACTCCTTTACCTCCTTTTGCTTATAATTTTTATTCAACCCCCTAACATTCCATGTTATCACACTCATACTGGTATGAAATAAGGATCATGATACAGTTCCTGCACCCCTGGGCTGCTTAGATGCACTTTGCTTGTACCTGGTTCATCATATGTTTGATCATTTTTCAAACTTTGGAATCCATTATTTCCAGCTAGCTCATGTTCTTCATTTTGTTTAGCCTTAGCTGCCCTTGCTGCTGATTTACCAAGGAATGTTATCCACCCCTCATCATTCTTTTGTGCATCTTTCTGTGACGACCCAGCCGGTCGTCTTAAGAATTAACGCCCCGATCCCCTATTAACTGCTTCCCCTAAGTTCATTTCTGCTAGTCTGGTTTGCCGGGGCGTTTAGTGTTGGGTTTCAGCGAGTTTTGGGACACTTAGTCCCTAAATGAGAGCTTAAGTGTTGAAAAGTGGTCCGTAGTCGGAACAGTGGGAAGACGACCTCGGAATGGAAATCCGATGGATCCGTTAGGTAATTTCAGGGTTGGGAGCGTGTTCGGAATGTATTTTGGAAGTCCGTAGCTCATTTAGGCTTGGAATGCCGAAGTTTGAGTTTTTGAAGTTTCCGGTCCGATAGTGAGTTTTTGATCCGAGGGTTGGATTGGAATTCCAAAAGTTGCAGTAGCTCCGTCATGTCATTTGGGACGTGTGTGCAAAATTTCAGGTCATTCGGGCGTGTTTTGGTTAGGTTTTTGATCGAAAGTGTATTTTGATGAAATGTGAGGTTCTTAGGCTCAAATCCATGATTTAATCGAGTTTCCGACGTTGTTTTAGGTGGTTTAAGGATTGGTACAAGTTTGAATAAGGTATTAGGTGCTATTGGTGCTTTTGGTTGAGGTCCCGAGGGCCTCGGGTGTGTTTTCGGATGCTCAACGGGCAATTGTTGGTGTTGGAAAAGTGTACCGCAGCTGAAGGTTTCTGTCATCTGGTAATTTCTCTTCTGCGCCTTGGGAACCACAGAAGCGGAGCCGCAGAAGCAGCCTTGGCTTCGCAGAAGCGACTTTTGGTCATCCTCCAGGAACCCGCAGAAGCGGTAGGATTTCTGCAGAAGCGGATCCGCTTCTGCGAGATGGGAACCGTAGAAGCGGAAGTTGGGATTTTAAAGGAAGGCACAGAAGCGGCTAGAGTTCCGCATAAGCGGGACCGCAGAAGCGGTCCCTTGACCGCAGAAGCGGTATTCACTGTTCAGAAAAGGGAGTTTCGAGGCTTGAGTTTCAAAAGTTTGAAAAATCAATTGAGAGCTCGGGAGAGGGCGATTTCGAGTGGGTTTTGAAGAGAAGATCATTGGGTAACGTTTCGTTAATCCTTTCTAGTTATATTTTATCATTATGTAGCTAAATCCATCATCTAATTTCGAATTTGGAATCAAAATTGGGGAAAACTTCATAGGCTAAACTATTGGGTTTTGAGTGGGCGTTTGATCTCCGATTTGGGAGATTTTTATATGGTTAGACTCGTGAGAGTACAAGGGTTCTGAAAATGTGAAAATTATTTGATTCCGAGATGTTGGCCTGAGGGGAGTTTTGGTCTTTTTGCCTAATTTCGCGCTTTAGCTTTGAATTAAATAGTAGAATCCGTTGCTTGAGATGTTATTTACAATGTGTGATTTAATTGAATAGATTTGGGCCATTTGGAGCCGAGTACTCATGGCAAGAACGGTGTTGCTAGTTGATTTTAGCCGGTTCGAGGTAAGTATCTTGCCTAACCTTGTGTGGGGGACTCCTCCTTAGGGTTTGAGTCTTCTTTGTTGATTGTATTCCTTGTACGCGAGGTGACGAGTGCGTGCTCGGATTTATTTGTGGAAAATTTGTCCCTTTTAGGCTCTTAGATCCTTGTAGTCACCGAATATGAAGTTGTTCTTGATACGATTGAGTTCCTTGTTATTAGCTTCACCTTTACATGTCTTACTTGGAATTTAATTGCCCTTTTTGGCATATTCTTGTTGCCTGATTGACTTTTACTTATTTCACTGTAGACATTACCCTTCTATAGTCACATTATCGTTCCTAACTGCTTGTCTTTATTTGGAAGCATTATTTCTATCTCTCGT